TTTAATTCTCCCATCATGGACATTTCAAATTCACTTTGCATATCATTTGAAAATTCCTTGCACAAGTAGTCATTAGTAGCTCCAAAAATAATATCATCAACATAGATTTGTACTAAAAGAATGTCATTCATTTTTCTTTTGATAAATAGTGTTGTATCAACCTTTCCCCTTGTAAATTCTTTTTCCAAAAGAAATTTATTTAGTCTTTCATACCATGCCCTAGGAGCTTGTTTTAATCCATATAGAACCTTTTTCAACTTAAAGACATGGTTTGAAAATTCTGAGTTTTCAAATCCTGGGGGTTGTTCAACATAAACTTCTTCTTGAATAAAACCATTTAGAAAAGCAATTTTGACATCCATTAGCTTCAGCCCCAGTCAAAGCGAAAACTCTACCAGCTGTAGTGGGTCTGTCACCCCTCTAAGCATCACCTCTCTAGGCACCACTCCTCTGCGCATCACCCCTCTCTGGTCTGCCTCTAGTAGGACAGTTGCATGACTTTATCCCACCTATGACAAGGAACTCTATGCCCTTATAAGAGTCACTACAAGAAAAATACGAAATAGAGACCAAATTTAACGACCAAAATTATCGGTCGCTATTTTGCGACCGAATTAGCGACCGAATAAAATAACGACCGATTTAGCGACCGAAATTTATCGGTCGCTATGTTGCGACTGAATTAGTGACGGATTAGAGTGGCAGCAAGAAAATCGGTTGTTGTTTAATTGTGTTTCATGAAAACATGGTTTGCGACGGAATTAACGACCAATTTTGAATAAATTATTAAAAAAATTGCAACCGAATTTAATTCTATCGCTAATTCTAAACTTTTGAATCTTTTAGCAACCGAATTAAAATCGCTAAAACTTTTTTTATTTTATTATTGAAATGTCAATTGATGTGTTAGTTTTTATTAAAATGTCAACGCTAGGTCTCGAACCATGGACGTGGGGATTATGGGAAAAGCATGCTACCGCTGTGCCACTTTGATTCCTTAGTAGAATACCAAAAGTAATATATATATA